TCCAGCAGGGTGAGCAGCTTGAGAGGCGGCGGCGGCGGCGGCAGCGGCAGCAGCAGGGGCTGCATGCTGCTGGCAGGGTCAGTGGGTAGGGCAGTGGCCACAGGTATTAATGGGGCAAGGCAGGCACAGTGGTGGCCTGGGTCTCCTGGTACCCCAGGAGCCCACTCTACTCTGCAAGGACTTGCTCCTTTGTTCCCAGGCTGCACTTCCAGACCTGTCACCACCACTTAATCTCTGGTACTGCTTCTCTTTGCTAGGAATGATATTCCATTTGGCTATCTTCTCCTCCATGCCCCCATCCACCAAACCCTCATCTCCTCAGAGTGAGTTTTCTACCTTAAAAAGCTGGAGTCTATGTTAGAGAGACACTCAGTATTTATCGTTATTACATATTACCCCAGAGTTCCAAATTCCCAGCCTTTACAATGAACAATGAATACCTCCGGAATTGGCTCCACCTACTGGCTCAGGAGCAGAGGTACAACCTTCAGTCTTACTGCTAGTTGATGAGGTCTGTCTTGACTCTGAGGGCAAGGCTAGGCTCTCTCCTTCTATGCGCTCAGTCTGAAGCCAGCCTCCTGCTGTCTGTTCCACTCAATGCCTGGCCTGTATCTTTCCTACAGCTGTATCTCTGGGCCTTCTCTCCATGTAGACTGGAAGGCTAAACTGAGGCTGTGTTTCAAGGTGGCTTCCTGCTGAGGCCCTCAAAATCACACGTAGGAAAATGAGATTTTTCTCTCCTCCTGACCCATCTGTCAAAGGAATCAGCCCAATCAAAACCTACAGCTGGGTTCAGGGCTTGTGAGGGTTGTGGACCTGTCCTGCGGTAGGACTGCCCATCTCTGCTCCTGCTCACCTTTGGGAGCCTTTTCTCCTCCCTCTGCTTCCTGGGAAACTGCAGGGAGGAGACTCAGGCTTCTGCTCACTTCTCTGATCACATGCCCTCTCTCCCCCTCCCAGGGATCTTTTCATTTCCTGCTGCACTTCTGAAGCTCTGTATTTTCTTCCTTGGGAAACAGCCTGCTTTTTCTTATTCTAATCAACTCTTTCCCAGGCCCAGAAAGAGGCAGTCTCTAATCTTCCTTCTCATCTGGAAGTCCCTGTACCCTGGATACCCAAATCAGTTCAAAACTCATCTGACACATGCAAAAAACTCTGCACATGGATACTCACGACAGATAGCTTAGTTTCCAGAAGTTAGAAACTTCCAAACCTTCTCCTATAGCAATGAGTCAACAAGCTTTAGTATCCTCCAGCAATGAACTAAATGGTACTTATCTGCAGAGTCTGGAGCTGTGCTGGCCATGGTCATGTACCCATTATCTCTGCACTCAAGGTACTGAGGCAGGAGGATGTCAAGTTAGAGGCTTACCTCCTATACAGGAAGAACCTACCTCAGAAAAGTTAAACCCCAGGTCTGGAGAGATGGCTCAGCAGTTAGGGCCATTGCTGTTCTTACGGAAGACACCGATTCTATTCCCAGTACTTATGTGAGGTGATCCATAGCTGCCTGTATTTCTGGTTCTAGGGGATTGGATACTATTTTTTGGTCTCCATGGGCGTGCGTGCGTGTTTTACACGCACGTAAAACTTTTAAAAATAAACAAGAACCACAAGGAAACAAACAAAAAATTATAGTTGAGATTTAGGAAAGGGAGGGATGACTGGATGACTTCCTCGGAGTCAGGACAGATGTCATCAGTTGTCAAGGAGACTAGACTTTGGTGCCTCTGAGCCTGAGACAATGCAGTGAAGCATATTCTGTAGGGATCTATTGTTCATTTTAAAGACTGGGAATTTGTCACTTCTGGGGTTATTCCCTGACCTGTCACACTATTCGTTATAAAGCAATAGTGGTGGATCCTTGGTATCACACATTTGTCACGACTCAGAATGCACAGGAGTAAGAGCAAGAGACTGTGGACTTCAGCTGACAATTATGCCAACATTGGTTCATCAGTCTTGACATCTGTGCTACAATGATGGGGAATGCTGATGCTGGCAAGGCCTTTTCCTCTTCCCCTCTCCTTTCTCTCCTGCTTCTTTCTCTCCTAATTCACCTCTCTCTTCCTCACCTCCCTCTACCAACTCCTTCTCTTTCTCTTGCTCTATCTCATTCTCTCTCTCAGTCAGCATGTGTGTATGTCTGTGTAGGTTGGGGAAGGTGGTTTTGTTAAAAAAAAAATAGCTCTGTACTTTCCACTTAGTTTTACTGTGAGCATAATAATATTCTTCAAGAATAAAATTTGCTAAAATTATGACTGGGCCATCATCAAAATATTTTTAGGCTTCTGCAGGAGCAAAAACTGGTAAAGACAGCCATCCCATATCGCCATTCTGCAGTGCAGAACAAGAGTCACCTTCGAGCATATTCCCACAGCACAATGGGGATTTTCTTTTTTGCTTTCTTTTTTTAAAAAAATGTTTTTTGATGGAATGTTCAGTCCTGTGAAGGCCCAGGGACAAAGTCAGCTAACAGCTATGCACCAGCTCTCTGGGAAGCCTCACAGATGCAAGGGAGCACTCAGACTTCTTGCTCCCAACACTACCTCCTGGAAGCCAGGCCTGGGGCAGACCTGCCCTTACTGACCTCATGCCCTGTCCATGACTTGGTTGTGCACCTGCCCTTGCCCATTGGTGGTATTGTCCTGTTCCATTTTGAGCATTTTATGTTCTTCCTGGGGACTTAATTCAAACATCACGAAGGCATTCTGTCCTCTGAGTCTTTCTAGGTCAGTGGATTTTAGTCTGAGCCACACACATAAATCATCCAGAGAAATTGAACAGTCAGGACACCAGCCCCTGACATCTTGAGATTGCAATTAGTGGGCTGGTAGACAGTTTCCAGCTCTCCAGATGACTCAGCTGAGTGGCCCAAGTGACAAACGACAGGTCTTGATGAGCCCTTGATATTTCCCCAAACTTCAATACTCTTTTGTAAGTAATCACAAAGATAAAGTAAGATTACTGAATAAAAGACACACATGAGAAAGTTTAACTTCTAATATTGTGCTCAGAAGCATTTATGAACCTCAAAGACCACCAAGGAGCCAACACCAATATAATCCTGTTAGGGTCTCTTTATTATAAACTCGAGTTTGGGCTTACTCACTGCTAACCCATAAGAAGGTTTGGTGAAGCAGCTCTGAACCCTCATTTGGACAGAGTTTTATAGTAAAATGGGAGCAAGTGAGGGATGTTTAGCCTGACAAGCATCTAATAGAATGACTACTGTAAGCTGACAGGTGGGTGCTCTGAAGCAAGACCGTGATAATCACAAACGGTCTGAAACGTAAATCTGAAACAATCAGACTAATCTTTATTGATGGTTGCTAGGAAGTAGCTAGGGAGCAACTCTGGGTTATGGACCAAAGACAGGCCATGGGGTCCTTCCTGGTATTTGAGTGTAGCTTGGGTTTAGTTGTAAGTCATTTTCTTAGACTTTTTTTTTTCTTTTAAGATGAAGACTGGTTCTAAGATAGAATATGTTTGGCCTCTCAATACTACTTGTAAAATCACACTGTAGACCATAACTCCTATACCATCATCATCCACAGTCTTTCTAGGAAAGCTACAAATCAGGGCTGTCATTGATAAAACCCTCCTTTGATGTATATTTGGTGCATATTTCAGAAATAGAAAACACTATGGTTTCAACACAGTAATTTTTAAAGCAGATGTGGGAAGCTCTATTATGCAAATCGAGAATGCAGTAAGTAATTTACTATCTGATTTTCCAAAAAAATACAAAAAACAAACAAACAAACAAACAAACAAAAATGACCAAGCCAAACCAACCAACCAACCAGCCAGACAAACAAAACCCAACCAGATACGTATTTGTTTCCTCGAACACTTTAGAACAGCACTAGGATTGTGAACCGAGAAATAGCACCCTGGTCTCCTTGAATACCATGGCCTGAGTGTCTCTGATCTGGTGTCAGAGATCAATCACTCAGACTGATATAGACATTAACACCCTCTAGCCAACCTGCTCTTCTCATCAGCCAAACTGCAATGAAGATATCAGTACAACAGCCTTTGTTATTTCTAGGAAAACTAAGTATTTTATTGATTGTGACAAACTGATTCATTATGAAATATATGCACTCTTTCTTAAATAATTTTAAATATAAATATGGCCTGAAGATAACTTAGAAATTTAGAAGACTGAAGAAAACCTGTGATAGTCCCAAACTCTGTCACAACTGGAATAGGACTTCTCTCAGCAGAGAGCTTGTGTCCTGTTCTCTCTCCTTTCCTTCCCCCTTCATTTCTGCATTGCTCCACCTAGCACCTAATTCAGAGCTCAGTGGGTCAGTATAGGAACAATGAGCATCAAGACAGAAGTGGAGTAGAAATAGCACTAATAAACTGAATCCTTTGGTCCATTATTTTCTTTCCTTGCAGTATGCCTGGTCCATATTCACCATGGTAACCTTTCTTAAAAAGAAACACCCATTCTTATCCTAAGATCAACTACATAATAAATGATCATATTTCCAGAATTATGAGAAATTTGCCACCTCTAAAAGTGACAATAGATTCTCTTGAAACCTTCATGCTCCTATGATTGAAGCCCTTTGGGGAAGATAGGGGAAGTAACATTTCAAAGTACAATAAAAATAGATAAAACATGAGTACAAAATTCTTCTGAATTCAGGACTTCCCATCCACCTACACATACTTTTTTTTAACTTTTAAATATTATTCCTCTTTTGATGGTTTAAATAACTAAGACTATTTTTGTATTACTGGCAATTGTGTTGACTCAAAAAAAATTAGCCTTCTGAAACCTTCACATTTGAGAGAATCGCTGCAGTGAGTGGAGACACTGAGGTGGTGTTGTTACAAGAATTAGGATGATGTTAATCTGAGTTTTGAGTATACTCAGTAGAGGGTTACCCTCTCCACTGCAGCTGGAAGAACCAACATAGAATATCGCCCTGGAGCTATAGTGGGTGTTTGATTTTGTAAAATCAGTGACAATCTCCATAATTTCAGGCAGAAGGCCCCTCAGAGGGCCATTGGGACTGTTCTTCCGGGTTAGGAGTGTCTTCAATAATGTAGAACTTGTCTTCATCTTTGGACTTCACGACCACTTTTATGTTCGGCAAAGGTCTGCTCTTAGACACAGAGAAGCTGGAGAGGGAGAGGGAGAGGGAGAGAGAAATGTTGAAAAACAATAGGTCTTCTGTAGGATCTGATCAGAAAATTTATGATACATACTCAGGAACCCAGGAGCCCCATGCACAAAAACTGTAACAGAAAACAGTACCATAAAGGGCCTTGGTTTTTTTTTTTTTTTTTTTTTTTTTTTTTTTTGGTGTTTTTCGAGACAGGTTTTCTCTGTGTGTTTCTGGCTGTCCTGGAACTCACTCTGTAGACCAGGCTGGCCTTGCACAAGGGCCTTGGTATTAAGTCAGAGAAAAGTTTGCTTAACCATTAGACTAAGAATTATTTTCTTCAATTCAGCTCATATTGGAATTTTTCAAATTATTTTTTTAATAGAACACACACATGGGAGATGTAGGAAGACAGATAACTAGAATCGAAGCAGGTACTCAAATAGGATGTGGACATGGAACGGCATTAAAAGCTGGATGACTCCTGTGTTTACTTTGGACTGTGATGCTTTAGTAAGGGTTTGGAGGGTCTAGTAACCTGAATTTTAATTCTGGAGACATGAAATAGTGGAAGGAAAAACTCAGCTCCACGGTGTTGTCCTCTGACCTCCACAGGTGCCTTGACACATCATCTGTGAGCCAAGGCATACAATAATAAGAAGTTCTTTTTTAAAGAAAGGTTGTTGAAACCTGCATAGACTCTATATCCTCTAATATTAAGTGTAGAGTAGAAAAATATTTAAAACAAAACAATGCCTTTTCACAGGGGTTGGTGTCTGGGACATAGTTTCAAAGACCACTTGTATGATACATATTCATATACACTACAAAACATCGTCAGGCACTGAACTGGAGGAAATTAATCTGGAGAAAGGATTGCTGGTGTTTGTGTCTAACCCATACCAACAGCCATAATGCCATAAATGTTAGGAACTAGAAAATGCAAAAATATCTTTGAAAAGCAATGATAGCAAGAAAAGGACTTGCCAGGAAGTGGTGGCCCAGTGCTTGAATCTCAGCACTCAGGAGGCGGGGACAGACAGACCTGAATTTGAGGCCATCCTGGTCTACAAATTATTTCCTGGACAACCATAGCTTCACAGAGAAAACAAAACAAACCAAACAAACAAACAAAAAGTTATGGGGGGGGAGACTCATTAAACTTCACTTTTGGATCCAAGGTGCAAAATGGGAGCCAAACATTATGGACCACACCTGTAATCCCAGAAAGAAAGAGTCTGAGTGAGGTAGGAGGTTTCTGAGTTCCAGTCTGGCCTAGGCTACATAGAAAGTTTCAGGTCAGTCTGTGCCACATAATAAGACCTTGTCTCAAGTTAACCAATCGACCGACAGATCAATCAGGAAAGAATGATTTAGTGGCTAAAGAGAGCATGGGGAGGAATCCTTAAGACATCGAGTTCAAAAAGAATCAACACAATCCATATCGGCTTACCTCAGAGAGCCCGACTTCTTTTTCATAATTATGAACCCTAAATTGGGGTGGGAGAAGGATGGTGAGAGTGGTTGAAAGGAAAGTTGAACTGTAATCAGAAGCACTCATGATAATTTTCTTTTAACCAACGATATTGTTTCTGTTTTTAATTGATGCATCCCCTGGTAACTTTGGGTAATTCCTTCCTATGCTGTACAGGAAGGATCTTCTTATTTATTGTTTGGTATATTGACCCATCTAGCCTTACGTTGCTAAAATGACATTGTAAATTATTGTTCACAAAGAACTGTAGATGATTCTAATGAGCTGCTAGAGAAGAAGATTTTGAGGGGAGAATAAACAACTTTGGACGGAGGAAGGGAACACATTTGTGGCATTTTACTCAATTTCTAAGTAATTCTCCCTTTTAGGCACAATGTGATACGGCGTCTAACCCCAGAATTGGAATGCTGGGATAAAAGACACTTGGCACTAGAGCTAGCATAAATATACACTTTAAATGAACAAGTTCTAAATAATTAGAGGAAAACATCCTGAATTTTGACAGTCATAATCTTTACTATTTTTTGTTCGTTCTTTTGAGACAATATTTCCCTGTATAAAATTGCCCGTCATGGAACTCTCTCTGAAAATCAGGTCTGCTTCGCAGTCACAGAGTTTTACAGGCCAGGGGTGTTGGGAGACACAGTAGCAATGGTTCAACATCACTGAGCACTCACCAAGTACCAGAAACCACCTGCAATGCTATGTAGGTCCTAACACACCCCTTGGGGAATGGATAGCTTACTGTGTGTCTCAGATCTGGGTGTATGAAAGTCATGTGAACTCAAAACCCCTGTGGCATGTACATTTGCTTAAAGGCAGTCAGAAGGACTGAGAACCCTGGCCCTCCTTCCCTGGGGACAGTTGTGAAATTACTTACTGGTGATAACCACAGTGCTCACAAGCAGCAGCAGCAGCAAGGCTGCGATGGAGATGCCGACATAGAAGCCCTTAGTCAGGGTTTTCTGTGGCTTCCATGAAGGGATTACTTCCTAAGGAAACAATAAATAAAATAACAGTAGTGATAAATAGACAAACCAATAAGTAAATAGCAAACCAAAGGGGCATCAAGGATCAGAAAACACAAGCTAGACCTTAAACCTAGACCTTCATCTTCTCTGGCCTGGGGCTAGTCTGGAATTTACAGCAAGATCAAAGGACGTAAGGCAGTAATGGGCAGTGGAACATGGCGACATGCAAATTCATGGTGACGTGTGAATTCAAAGTGCCTTCGATGCTGATGGAACAGTGTTCTGTGTTGCTCAAGATGATGACATGTGTATATAACTCAAAGTTCTGACTGCATGCTTAATGTGGATGGATATATCATTTATTTGATTATGTCTGCTTTAATAGTCAGTAGTAGTGTATTCGATAAATGCATCATCTTGTGATAACGAAAGAAAAAAAATGATTCATCTCTAAATCTACTAGCTCTCAGTGGATTCATCTGGTGGTCCTGGTCTGGTATCACAGATTGTACTTGTGAAAGCAATTCAAGATTTTAAGTCTTTATAAAATTCTAATACCAAATCATAGTCTTGAAAACATATACACACGAATAACATTATTCAGACTGGGCAGGTTATATTTATGATTTCAGAAATATATGTAGTATATAATTTATGTATACTACAATATGTTTATATTATATATACATACATGTCAATAATTGAACAACAGATCACAAATCTTATTTGGTTTTGTTTGTTTGTTTGTTTGTTTGTTTCTCGAGACAGGGTTTCTCTATATAGCCCTGGCTGTCCTGGAACTCACTCTGTAGACCAGGCTGGCCTTGAACTCAGAAATCTGCCTGCCTCTGCCTCCCAAGTGCTGGGATTAAAGGCCTGTGCCACCACTGCCTGGCCAGATCACAAATCAAAAAGAAAGTGAGGGGCATATATGGAAAGGTTTGGACCAGGAGAAGAAAGGGAGAAATGATGAAATTATGATTAATAACTTCCTAAAAAACTAAAAAGACTATTTACTTATAGCTGCAGCCTGATTAACACCATGTGATCAGACACGTATGCATAATCTCTTTCAGTGCCCTGGTAACCAGGTGCAGGTAACCAGGGACCACTAGCTACTCGAATAAGCATGAGACTGGCTGGGCATCAGTTTAGGCCCATTCATAGCTCAGCACTGACCTGCTAGCCCTAAACAGACCCTGAGAGATACAGGTTTAACTGCAGGAAGCAGACCAACAGATCAGGTCTTTGCCCTCATATGAGCATCATCTCTGGATCACAACCCCAGCTCCTCTGCTTAGTCAGACAGACCATGGGCACATTAGCTCAGCTCTGTGAGCTCTGTCTTTACAAATGACATGCTCAGTGGGGTTCTTGGGTAAGATACTCTCTGATGCCTCTTAACAAACACCCTGGAGAATGTAGGAGAAAACAAGGTTTGTTTGTTGTTATGACAGGGTCTTCTGTATCCTCCTGCCTACACCTTCTGGGTGATGGGATCACAGCCCTGTCACCATGCCCACATGAACATCTAGTTCATAACATTTTCCTGATTATGAATGACAGCAAAGCATATCCTTTCTTATTCATCTTCACAAATTTCCTTCAATGTTTTCATGAGATAGAGGCCAGGACGTTGATCTACTGAGTCCAGACCTATGCTGCTGTTGCTAGGCATGGGGGAGCACACCTTGTTCCTAGAACCTGAGAGGTGGAAGCAGGAGGGTTGGGAGGTCAAGATCCTTCCCAGGTACAGAGCAATTTCACAGCCAGCTTGAGCTACGTGGGATTCTGTCTCAGATACCTAAGCAAACACCGAAAACAATGTTTGCTGTGTGCTGCTGTACATTATTTTAAATGTACTGAGAGACAGTTTGACATCTTCAGAGTCCAGCTTCTTCTACTACTTGTTTTGACCTTAACTCTAGATTGTTCCCCCTTGCTGCAAACCATGACTCTTTCACAACTGACTGAGGGCAAGAATAACCTCAGTATGCAGTACTGTTTTGTTTTACACCTAACCACAGACTGGTCCCATAGCCACATGTGCATAGTAGTTTTTGATATTTAACCAGTATATACAAATTCTTCCCATAACTTCCAGACCACTGAGTGCTAATGTCAGATAAGTCATTACAGTATTTTTAGTATCTGGCTGGGACAGGTGACATGGGCCTGTCATCTCAGTACTCAGTAGGCTAAGGCAGGAAGATTAGGAGTTGCAGGCCAGCCTGAGCTACTAAATAAGGTGATGTCTTAAACGCAGGGGCAGTTATGGTGGCATCTACACCTATGATTTCAGTACTTGGACGATAGAGGCAGCACGATCAGGAGTTCAGGGTCATCCTCAGCTCTGTAGTAAGTTCAAGGTCAGTTGGACTACATGAGACCCTGTCTCAAAAAACTAACAAAAAGGTCTTACCATCAGCATCTATTGTTATGTTCTGACTGTCCATATGTAAAACATACAGCTTCACAGAGAATAGTCAGCGGGTAGAAAAACAATATTAGGGGTTCCAAAATGAACTTCTTTCAATTACCCATTGTAAGCATCAAACTCTCCATATATATATATATATATGTGTGTGTGTATATACATATATATATATATGGAAATAAATATAAGTATATATAAGTCTATATATGGAAATAAATATAAGTGTATACACACACACACACACACACACATATATATATATATACTTTTTGATACAGTATTTTATCACATAACCAAACTTGCCTAAATTGTCCAGGCTGTCCTCAAAAATTTAATCCCTTGCATTAACTTCTTGAGTCCAACAATTAAGGAATAGACCACTAAATCTGACTCTCTTTTATTCTTCTTCTATTTTGATGCAAATGTCTGTAGACCAATATTACAGACCCAATTGTTAAGTATCATGTGCTTCCTGGAAGATATACTGGGGAACATGGCCAGTGAATTAGGGAGGAATGTACTTACAGTGCTATTATTCCAAGTGTCATCTGAGGATGTCACAGTGTTATTCCAGTCTGATCAAAGGGGAGAAAATTAATTACAAATACAAGAATTAGATTTTTTTTACTACATCTGTAAATAATATCCACAAGGCCAGTGTGTCTTATACCTTGTGAGGATTAAGATTTAATACGGTAGGAGAGTCACTGAGCAGCAAGTTTTGAACATTTAGAATTTCATAGTATTTTAAAATGTCTATATTGTAACAGGGAATGCATTGTTTTCATTGTTTCTATGTACCTACGAATGAAATACAGGACCTTCTTTCCATGCAGTATCTGGCACATATAAGGATTATAATATTATGACAAGAATTCCCTTAACTGTATTTACATATGAAGCAGATACCAGGTAATTATATATTTCTAATTTTTACAAATGACAGACAACTCTGTTGGCAACCCACACACACAGTACCCTTACAATGAGTGGAAATACTGCAGGTCTGTGGAAGTCCCTAACAACCACTAAAGCTGGCATTGCCCTTTGGATGACTCATAGCCCTCCTCTAGTCACACATCCCAGTATTTACATTCTACTCCTTGGGAAAGCCCTTTCAAGGAGCCAAAGGCAATGACTAGGTTTAAACAACATCTACAGTCTAGGCTCTTGTTTGGCACTTAGGCCCTTAAGTAAGACCTTCCAAGAATCAGAGTAAGTGACTCAGTAGGGTGAAGTTGAGTCAGACAAAATTTGAATTCAATGATGATCATGTCCATTAGCAAAATGATCTTCATCTTCAAAGTCCTGATAGAAGCACTTAAGAATGCATGCTTGAGCATTCAACACTGTGGTGGCAAACACAGATGATGTCACTTCATTATTATTATGGGAAGAAGGAGCATCCAGGCAGTGGGTGAATACAGTGGAGTTCACTTTAACAATATTGTATCTTTAGTGAGAAATGTTCAACCGCTTGTCAAAAGAAATGTGGCTAGTATTGGTGGATGAATTGAAAAGTGGATAAATTGTTTGTTTCTTAAGAGGAACTTTAAAGTTTTCCCAACCTAGCAGTGACATAAATTACCATAAAATAATCAATGAGATGGTATATAAGTTTCCAGGCAGGCACAGCTATCAAATAGTGGGTCATGTGATTACCAAAATCCCTTTCAGTTCTTATATTTCCTGCCTTTGGAAAACATTTGCCAATAGAAGGTTGCTATAGGCACAGCAAGGACTTAGCCGAGGAGCCTAAAGTCACAAGATCAAAGTGCCAGGAGTCTCAAGGAAACCAGAGATACATTTGCTCTGCTCTCTGCTCCACCTGGGGAGCATTATGTTGATGAGGGCTAGATGACAGGGCACTACAGAGAAAGATCTGCCCTCATATTCCCTCTGATTTCCTCACACCCAGCAACAGTGTACTGGGAAACCATAGCGCACATAGGGAGTTACAAATGTACACATGCAGACTCCAATCAGTTTCCTCTATGGAAAAAAACAAAACCTGTAAAGCTTCTTCTGCTTGACAAAACGGAGTGCTACCTCCAGGAATAGATGGGTTTTAGGAAGCTTTGAGACCCTCTCAAACAGTAATCATTTCACTCCTAGATGTAGAAGGTTTGACCTAACCTTGCCTACAAGATGATAAGCTTTTCCCCATCCTTTAGTCGTGTTACTACCCCTTAATACTGAATTACCTGAAGGCAATTTGAAATATGAACCTCATAGCATCGCTCAAATGCTTGAGCAGGTCAAGTTGAAGGGACCGAGATAGCAGACTAAACTTCATTTTGTTCTTAAGAGTCCATTCTAAGTTAAGAATGGTGGGGCATGGGTCCCACCCTTGAGGTCTGAGAAAAATCACTGGCAGTAGCAAAATAGACATAGCAGCTGCAGCTAGCTGATAACAACAGAGTGAGCTTAGAAAATGTAAGTCTTTCCCAGGTCAAGATGCTCCTTTTTTGATGTAGGCTCCCTCCCTGTGGTTTAACCATTTGCTACAAACCAATTAGCTTAATGATCAGCATTCCTTTACCCTCTCATGTAATGCCCAGGCTTGGAAACACCAGCTTGCAGTTTTTTCCTGTATGAACCCTCTTCAACTAGACCAGGGGTTACTCTTCTATCCTGTTACATTAGGAGGGTTTGTGACACAAGCTCAAGCTTGAATAAAGACTCTCATGGGTTTGCATCAAAGTTGTGGTTCCTGATGGTCTCTTTAGGGGGGTTGTAATCTGGGCACAACAAAATCATTTACCAAAGTCTTCAAATTTGATGTGAGGGTTTTCACCTCTACCAAGGATATATTTTGCACTTTTTATGCTACATGAATGAATTAAAAGATGCTTAAAGCAAAACTTTACAGGGCTTCCACTGCCTCTTTTTAAAGGAGGGTATCCTAAAGTCTTTCCTATGAGTATGTGAAAACAGAACAAACCCTCCAAATATCTGTGTCCATAAGAGGAGGCCTGGCCCTGCACTTAGAAGAACACGCTTAAAACTCAAGTGAAGAGCGACAGAGTCTCAGCCACTTTCTAGCTTCATAACCTTTACCATCAACTTTCTCACTCTGTGTCTGATCCTGTCACTATGCAACAGGGACAGACCACAGCTATATTGGATAGTTGTCTGAGAATGATACACTGATTCATAAAGCATGTAGTATCCTGCCTAGTGCTCAGGAAACACTAACCGTTAGCTTCACTGAACTATGGCCTCAGCTGGATGGGACAATTTCGAATGGACATAAAGGATCCACAGGGACCCTAGTTTCAGTCATTCCCTGTTTCTTCATCAGAAAGTCATGCCCAGCTGTCCCAGATTCCCACCATCCTCATCAGCTGCCCTAGGTCAATGATCCACCTACTAGTGAATCCCCTAGGAATCTGATAAAGAGAGATGGTTGTCCTCCATCTGCAAGATGTTACACAACAGAGGGTGAATATAACCTGAGATTGGGACATTACAGACCTTGTGAAGCTGTTGTTTGGGGCCCAGTTCAAAACTTTTCACTAAATGTATGCTTATGACTTGACTCAGTGTCTGTGTATCCTAGTTTCTTTTATAAGGACTCTGGGCCCAGATACACATTGGGTTTTACCTGGTTTGTGAGTCTGCATGTGTGCTGGTGTCGGAGGAGTAGAAGTAGAGATTCTGGTTGATGTTGATACATGTGTGAATCTTGTTGAAATAGTCATGGGTCTTCCTGGAGTTGTGGGTCTTCCTGTAGTTGTGGGTCTTGTTGGGGGATTTGTGGGAATTTCTGGATTTGGAAATCAAGATGAAAGCAAGGATCAGTCAAGTAAGATGAGGCGAGAGCTTCTGCTGTTGCAACTGCAAGAGGCTTCCCCAGGCAGAGGCTACTCTCCTGAACTAGGATGTGGCAGTGCAGGGCAGTGGAGACAAGCTCACCAGTAGGAGGCAACTGCATTGACAACATGAATGAGAACAGAGCCTATGTTCCCATGGAAACACTTTATGAATGACAGGTGTCAGATCCCCAGATAGCTCTAAGCATCTGTGAGACTGAGGAGGTATGAGGGCTCGGACTCCACTGACTTCACCCACAGTTTCAAGGCCAGCAAGCTCATTTCAGTCAGTTCTGAGAAGACAAACCATACAGCCCTGCATCTTAGCATACAGATTCCACACAAGGCCTATCAGAAAGGGATTTGCACATTTGGTAGAACACTGTGTTCTATGGTTTCTAAGAGAGAAAGGATGAATATCTATTATCAAAAAAATGCTTGTGGCAAGGAGTTGCAGAATTAAAATCTTAACAATTTGGAATATTTGCATAAAGAAATATCTTATGGGTGGGGCACAAGTGTAAATGTGGATTGAGCTAGAATCCACATGCCTATGCTTTACATACATAGCTTAAGGTAAGGTTATAATCTGTGCATAAGTCTGCACAGGATAGATCATGGTGTCGAATTTTGCAGGCACATTATCAACCCATGCTCAAAAGGTGTCAGATTTTGGAGCAGCGCAGACTGGGAGCTTTAGATTAGGCATGTTCAACCTGCAGCTCACAAACCAACAGCATCAGACTTGCTGGTAGCATCCAAACAGCAACTGATGGTCTCAGTGTGCAGAGATGGAGCAGAGGCAAAATGGTGGTGGAAGGAAACAGTCAGGGAGGCACTCAGGCTTCTTTATGTCAGTAGACATGTGGTCCCTGTAAGTAACCTGCCTGTGTTCACTGCCCTACCTACGAACTAAAACCTCAGGAACAAGCAACAGTTGCTTTGAAACTCTTCTTTATGGGGGATGAAGTACAATCCCTTAATCCAAGGTGATTTTACTTTGAAATAAAGAAAAAAATGTAGTGTTTTTACTTTGTGTTGGGAAGTAGCAGGAGTAGAGCCCTCTCCTTAAATTTACTGTATGCATTTATTCCTGTATTTGTGTATTTGTGTGATGTCAGGTATGTGGATGTTGAGGGACCAACCAAGATCCTGCTTACCACCCTCTAAGGACTCTGCTGCATCCTTTCCCAACAGGTATGCTGCTGTGCTTGGGAGAGGAAGTGGAAAGGGAACCATATGCCACAAAGGGTATTTAAATAAGACAGGGTAATTCAGTCTGGATGTGATGGGACTCCCTTTTATTCTCAGCACTAGAAAGCTAGTGGCAGGAGGCCCAGAGACCATGACATCAGAGAACTTGAGATTATGTCATTAAAAAATAATAAAAAGCAAGTGTTTAATTGTAAGCATATCTATAAGAACCTTAGTTTCTTTGATATGGGAAAAGAACAGATTGTTAGCAAACAGAGGCCTCAGTTCACAATAAGAATTAAATAGTAAGCAAAGAAAGAGGGCGAGCTTACCTGGTTGAACAAGGAGTAAGCTGGTCATTATCTCTACAATCCCATACCATCCCTTCATTTGCAATCCACAGCAATAGTGACCGCTGTCACTCACAGTGAGATTCAGTATTGTCAAGGACCCAATGCCTTGAAGAAGCTGCCCCTTTAGCTGGTAGCGATTGCTTGCCCGATACTGGATTTGGTATCCATCAGTTGCAATAATTCTTTCTCCACATGTATTATAATTACATGGCCCTCGGCCCCAACACATGTAGAATCTTCTAGTAGATACTGGATATATACATGGGAGTGTGACCGAGTGTCCCACCACTCCATGCACTTCTGGGAAAGACTCCACAGCAGCTGTGTATAAAAGAGTGGAGTTCGAAAGTGAGCTCTCAACAATTTCCAACAATTAATTTTACTTCTTCATTTTTTCCCCATTTTTTCTTTCTGGCTCAACTGTGGATTATTGTAATAAATATATACCTTTGGCTGATCTCAGTGTTTAGAACTCTGTATGTAGAACATACTGCCGGAATTCATGGAGATCTGCCTGCCTCTACCTCCTCATGCTGAGATCAAAGGTGTGCACCACCAGGCCAAGCTCAGAGGGGGTTTTATAAAACCCTCTGGATAAGTTTAGAAAACCTTTAGTAAGCTCAGTCCTCAAAGCTGATCCAAAACCAAACCGACACCAAAACCTGAACAGGGATTCCTTCTTATATGTTGTTGATAACATTCCAGAAACTGAACAAGACTCATAACCTGAGACCACGAAATCAGAATATTAAATCAAGGATTAAACCATACAACTTTTAAACCTAGTACAACAACTTTACTAGGTATCTGTCGAGATGACAGACAGAATTCCCTATTGCCAGTTGCTTCTACATGAGGGAATCTGAGGGCTGAAGATGCAGCTCGAGGATGCCATGCTCACCTAGCCCACACCAGCCCCTGGGTTGGATCCCAGCACAGGAAGCAATGAATAAGCAAACAACACAGAACAGCAAACTGGGAGAGTCACAGAGTGGTCACTTACATTCCTGCCCAGCCTGTGTCAAGTCTGTGTGTTTGGATGGGTCTGAGAAAGCACTTTCCTTGTTGTATAAAATGAGTGTGTAAGGGGATTGTACTTCTCACTGGCACACTCATTACTCCATTTTTTTCCCAAGTACATTGTTTTATGTTTACAAATACTGTACATTTTATCATAATAAAACTATAGAAATGTATGTTAAGAATTAATAACCTTCCACAGTTCCACCTGCTAGGAATTAGATTGTAAGATTTAGAATCTGTATGAGACATAGGGACTCATACCTATAATCTTAGCTCTTGGGGGGTAAAGAGGTCATTTTCAGCTCTCTATTGTGTTATCTTGGACCCTATCTCAAAAAAATTAATATGCGATTCACTATTTATTCCTATATCATAGACTGTTTTCAATTAATATCTTTAATTAAACAATTGAAAATGAGAGGCTCTTTTTTTTTTTTTTTTTTTTTTTTATTGGATGATTTATTTACATTTCCTATGTTGTCCCCTTACCCCATCCCCCACCACCCCCTCGGAACCTCCAATCCCCTCGCCCCTCCTCCTTCTTCTCTGTGGATGTAACCTCTATCTACACCCCCCCCACTCCCCCCTCCCCACCCTCAAAATTCCCACCCCCTGGGGCATCCAGCCTTCATGAGGTCAAGGTTCTCTTCTTCCACCTATGCCCAGCAGGGCCCTCCACTTTTACATATTCAGCTGAAGCCCTGGATTCCCCCCTAAGTGCTCCCAGGCTGGTGGTTTAGACCCTGGGAGCTGTGGTTGGTTGGTATTGTTGCTCTCCTCATGGTGCCACAAACCCTTTCAGCTCCTTCAGTCTTCACTCTAACTCCTCTATTGAGAACCCCATGATCAGTTCAATGGCTAGTTGTGAGCATCTGCCTCTGAATATGTCTGACTCTTGAAGGCCTCTGAGGAGATATCCATATCAGGCTCTTATCAGCATGCACTTCCTGACTTCCACATCAGCATCTACCTTTGGTGATTGCACATGGGATAGATACTCAGGTGGGGTGGTCTTGAGACGGCCCCTCCTTCAGTTTCTGTCCCTCACTTTGTCTCCATATTTGCTCCCTTGAGTATTTTGTTGCTCCTTCTAAGAAGGACCGAATCACCCTCACTTGGTCTTCCTTCTTTATGGGCTTCATGTGGCCTGTGAGTTGCATCTTGGGCATTTCAAGGTTCTAGGCTAATATCCAATAATCAGTGAGTGAATACCATGTGTCTTCTTTTGTGATTGGCTTACCTCACTCAGGATGATAATTTCTAGTTCCATCCATTTACCTAGGAACCTCTCGAATTCATTGTTTTTAATAGCTGAGTAATACTCCATTGTGTAAATATACCACATTTTTTGAATCCATTCCTCAGTTGAAGGACATCTGGGTTCTTTCCAGCTCCTGGCTATTATAAATAAGGCTGCTATGAACATAGTTGAGCATATGTCCTTGTTATATGTTCGAGCATCTTCTGGGTATATGCCTAGGAGTGGTATAGCTGGATCCTCGGGTAATGCTATGTCCAATTTTCTGAGGAACCGCCAGACTGATTTCCAAAGTGGTTGCACCATCTTGCAGTCCCACCAACAATGGAGGAGTGTTCCTCTTTCTCCACACCCTCGCCAGCATCTACTATCACCTGAGTTTTTAATCTTAGCCATTCTGACTGGTGTGAGATGGAATCTCAGGGTTGTTTTGATTTGCATTTCCCTGACGACTAAGGATGCTGAACATTTCTTTAGATGCTTCTCGGCCATTCGAGTTTCTTCCGTTGAAAATTCTTTGTTAAGCTCTATACCCCATTTTTTAATAGGGTAATTTGGTTGTCTGGAGTCTAATTTCTTGAGTTCTTTGTATATATTGGATATTAGCCCTCTATCAGATGAAGGATTGGTAAAGATCTTTTCCCAATTTGTTGGTTGTCGTTTTGTCCTATTGACAGTGTCCTTTGCCTTACAGAAACTTTGCAATTTTATGAAGTCCCATTTGTCAATTCTCGATCTTAGAGCATATGCCATTGGAGTTCTGTTCAGGAACTTTTCCCCTGTGCCCAAGTATTCGAGGCTTTTCCCCACCTTCTCTTCTATTAGTTTCAGTGTATCTGGTTTTATGTGGAGGTCCTTTATCCACATAGACTTGAGCTTTGTACAAGGGGATAAGAATGGATCAATTTTCATTCTTCTACATGTTGTCTTCCAGTTGAACCAGCACCATTTGTTGAAAATGCTGTCCTTTTTCCACTGGACAGTTTTAGCTCCTTTGTCAAAGATCAAGTGACCATAGGAGTGTGGGTTCATTTCTGGGTCTTCAATTCTATTCCATTGATCTTCCTGCCTGTCTCTGTACCAATACCAGGTAGTTTTTATCACTATTGCTCTGTAGTACAGCTTGAGGTCAGGGATGGTGATTCCTCCAGAAGTTCTTTTATTGTTGAGAATAGTTTTCGCTATCCTGGGTTTTTTGTTATTCCATATGAATTTGAGAATTTCCTTTTCTAACTCTGTGAAGAATTGAGTTGGGATTTTAATGGGGATTGCATTGAATCTGTAGATTGCTTTTGGCAAGATGGCCATTTTTATTATATTAATCCTGCCAATCCATGAGCATGGGAGATCTTTCCATCTTCTGAGATCTTCTTCAATTTCTTTCTTCAGAGACTTGAAGTTCTTGTCATACAGGTCTTTCACTTGCTTGGTTAGATTCACACCAAGGTATTTTATATTATTTGCAACTATTGTGAAGGGTGTCATTTCCCTAATTTCTTTTTCAGTCTGTTTATCTTTCATGTAGAGGAAGGCTACTGATTTGTTTGAGTTGATTTTATAACCAGCCACTTTGCTGAAGTTGTTTATCAGGTTTAGGAGTTCTCTGGTGGGAAGTTTGGGGGTCACTTAAGTATACTATCATATCATCTGCAAATAGCGATATTTTGACTTCTTCCTTTCCTATTTGTATCCCTTTGACTTCTTTTTGCTGTCTAATTGCTCTGGCTAAGACTTCCAGTACTATATTGAATAGGTAGGGGGAGAGTGGGCAACCTTGTCTAGTCCCTGATCTTAGTGGGATTGCTTCAAGTTTCTCTCCATTTAGCTTGATGTTGGCTACTGGTTTGCTGTAAATTGCTTTTACTATGTTTAGGTAGGGGCCTTGAATTCCTGATCTTTCCAAGACTTTTATCATGAAGGGATGTTGAATTTTGTCAAATGCTTTCTCAGCATCTAGTGAGATGATCATGTGGTTTTTTTCTTTAAGTTTGTTTATATAGTGGATTACATTGATGGATTTCCGAATATTGAACCATCCCTGCATTCCTGGGATAAAACCTACTTGATCATGATGGATGATTGTTTTGATGTGGTCTTGGATTCGGTTTGCTAGAATTTTATTGAGTATTTTTGTATCGATGTTCATAAGGGAGATTGGTCTGAAGTTCTCTTTCTTTGTCGGGTCCTTGTGGGGTTTGGGTATGAGTGTAATTGTAGCTTCATAGAACGAATTGGGTAGTGTTCCTTCTGTCTCTATTTTGTGGAATAGTTTGAAGAGAATTGGTATTAGGTCTTCCTTGAAGGTCTGATAGAATTCAGCACTAAAACCATCTGGTCCTGGGCTTTTTTTAGTGGGGAGGCTTTTGATGACTGCTGCTATTTCCTGAGGGGTTATGGGACTATTTAGATGGTTTATCTGCTCCTGGTTTAACTTAGGTACCTGGTATCTGTCTAGGAAATTGTCCATTTCATCCAGGTTTTCCAGTTTTGTTGAGTATAGGCCTTTGTAGTAGGATCTGATGATTTTTTGAATTTCTTCAGTTTCTGTTGTTATGTCTCCCTTTTCAGTTCTGATTTTATTAATTTGGATACTGTCTCTGTGCCCTCTGGTTAATCTGGCTAAGGGTTTATCTATCTTGTTGATTTTCTCAAAGAACCAACTCCTGGTTTTATTGATATTTTGTATTGTTCTTTCTGTTTCTA